TGAGGGCATGGATTGGGGAGGGGAGGGTGTCCTGGCTATGGGGGGGGTGAGGGCGTGGATTGGGGAGGGGAGGGTGTCCTGGCTGTGGTGGGGGTGAGGGGAGGGTGTCCAGGTTATAGGAGGGTGATGGGGTAGGTATTGGTGGGGGCAGGAGAGTGGCCTGGCTACAGTGGTCAGGTAGGTAAGACTGAGAGCCTCTGGTTGGGGTGTAGCTCTAGGGGGGGTGAGTGATTCTCAGGGCCTCCCCATCTCTGTCTCTCTCCCCACAGATGCCCCGTCACTGCTCTGCTACCGGCTGCTGCACCCGGGACACCCGCGAGACCCGCAATCGAGGCATCTCCTTCCATCGGTAAGAGCTACCCTGGCCCTGCTCCCTCCCCACAACCTCCCCCTACAACCAGCCCTTCCGCCCTCCCCTCCCTGAGGGGAAGGTGCAAGGGGACATCCGGGTACCCTGAACGGCAGTACGTTTAACGCCAACAGAAAGGAAATACTTTCCCAGCACAGCCTGCGTAACTTCCTGACCCAAGGACTCACTCATTATCATCAAAGCTTGTTGCTCCAAAACCACAGCTGAGACCAGGTGTGATCAAGGAATTGCTGAGGAGTTGGGACCAATTTTCCCTTGTAGGCAGGTTATTCCAGTACTGCCCACTAGGGAGCATCTTGCCTCTTCCTCTAAAGCAGCTGGGTTCTGTCGGAGACAGGATGCTGGGCTAGAGAGGCCTTTGGTCTGGTCCAATCTGGTTGGTCCTACGTCCCAGCTCCAGTGGATCATTTGGAGGTGGTGTTGCTTTTTCTTCTCCATACCTAGAGGACATTAGCATCTCTGGGTTGAAAATGCCTGGGGGGAGGTCCTTGTGGCGGTTGAACCCCTGCCCCGGCCCATGCCTCTCCCGGGAGCTGAACCGTGCCATCTCTGTCCTCGCAGGCTGCCCAAGAAGGACAACCCGCGGCGCAGTGTGTGGCTGGAGAACTGTCAGCGCAAGGACCCGAGCGGCCAGGGCCCCTGGAATCCAGCCTCTGACTACATCTACTTCTGCTCCAAGCACTTCGAGAAGAGCTGCTTCGAGATGGTGGGGATCAGGTGGGTGCATGAGGCCGAGCCGACACCCAGGGACGCCATGAGCCTCGCTAGCTTGGGAGATGAGCTTTTTCACCAGGTCTCCATAACCGTGCCAGCAGCTGCCCCTGGTATCCCAGCTTGGGTGGGGGTGTGAAGAAGAACAGTACCACCAGTCACATAGATGCCTGGTTCATTGAATCATAGAATATCAGGGTTGGAAGGGACCTCAGGAGGTCATCTAGTCCGACCCCCTGCTCAAAGCAGGACCAATCCCCAGACTAATTTTTGCCCCAGCTCCCTAAATGGCTCCCTCAAGAATTGAACTCACAACCTTGGGTTTAGCAGGCCAATGCTCAAACCACTGAGCTATCCCTCCCCCAGGTCCTCTCTCCTCTGGGAGGATGGATTGGACCATGTGGAGCCCTGCCCTGAACCCTCTTCATCTGCCCCCTGGAAGGATGGACTGGTCCATACGGTTCCCCTAATCCTGACATACCTCCTCCTACCCCTGAGAAGATGGACTGGTCCCCTAGACCAAACATACCCCTCCAGAAGAAGGACTGGTCCATACAATTCTCCCTACTCCTGGCATGTCCCCCCACAGATGGACTGGACCATATGGTTCCCTCTAGTCCATATGGTTCCCCCTAGTCCAGATGTCCCCCCTAGTGAAGATAGACTGGTCTGTACAATTCCCCCTAGGTCAGATGCACTCACCCTCCCCTACCTGTGAGGATGGACTGGGCCATACGGTTCCCCCACCTTCCAGTCCAGACACAGCCCCTCTATCCAGAAAGGTGAACTGGTCTGTATCATCCCACTAGTCCAGATGCACTTACACTCCCCGAGAGGATGGACTGATCTGAATGGTTTACCCCTAGTTTAGACATCCCCCTCGTCCCACGAAGGTGAGCTGGTCCATTTTGCCTCCTCCCACCCTCCCCCCTCACCCCCCATGCAGATACATCCCATCTCCCTCTCCCTGTGAGTATTGACGGACAATGTGTCTCCTGAGGCTTAGAGTTTTCTTAAGGCCTGTTCATCACAGTTCCTTGGCCCCATTTTGCAATGAGTTCTGTTGAAACACAGTTCCGGTTTGTTACAGCAGCTCTCTCGATGCAAGGTCTTGCTAGCGAGCGAAAGAATACAGGGTGTGGGGGGGTTACGTTAATTTTTTTGAGAACATAAAAGTAGTGGGGGGTTATTGTAAGGT